GGGGTCCGATGCCCCCAGCCAGGTGCATGTCTAGCCTCTTCTTAAAGACCCCCAAGGTAGGGGAGAGCACCACCTTCTTTGGAAGATCATTCCAGACTCTGGCAGTCCTTGCTGTAAAGAAACTCTTCCTGATGTCTAACCTAAATCTGCTCTCCGTCACTTTGTGGCCATTGTTCCTAGTTACTCGAAGAGGTGCTGTGTATCTCCTATTCCTTGCTGTCCCCCCTGATGAATTTGTAGGCGGCTACAAGATCACCTCTCAGCCTTCTCTTGCGGAGGCTCAAGATATCCAGGGCCTTCAATGTGTTTTGCCTGCAGGCCCCTAACCATACGAGTGGCCCTCCTCTGAACCCTCTCGAGGTTGTCCACATCCCTCTTGAAGTGTAGTGCCCAAAACTGGATGCAGCACTCCAACTGCGGCCTGACTAATGCTGCATAAAGGGGAAGTATCACCTCCTTGGACCTGCTAATACATGATAGTCTGGTTGGCTTTACTGATCATGTTGGCACATTGACGACTCGTGTTCATCTTGGAGTCAACAGTGACTCTGAGATCCCTTTCTGCTGCTGTGCTGCTGAGGAAGTCCTCCCCCAGCCTGTAAGCATGCTGGTGATTTCTTCTTCCTAGGTGTAGCACCTTGCATTTGTCCTTATTGAACTACATCCTATTCTGTTCCTCTCATTTTTCCAAACTGTCCAGATCTGCCTGGATTCTTTCCCTACCCTCTGGTGTTAACCCATAATTTAATATCATCTGCGAATTTGGACAGAGTGCTTTCCACGCCCTCATCCAATTCGCTGATGAAAACATTGAATAGCACCGGTCCAAGGACTGAGCCTCCGCTGCCCACATCTGCAGGCAGTGTCCGCTGTGGGAACCTGCAGGCAGTGTCCGCTGTGGGACTCCACTGCCCACATCACTGGGAGTGACAAGAAATAATGGTCACAAGCTGGTAGAGGGTAGATTCAGGCTAGACATCAGGAGGCGCTACTTCACTGTCAGGGCGGCTAGGATCTGGAACCAACTTCCAAGGGAAGTGGTGCTGGCTCCTACCCTGGGGGTCTTTAAAAGGAGGCTGGATGAACACCTTGCCGGGGTCGTTTGACCCCAGTACTCCTTCCTGCCATGGCAGGGGGTCGGACTTGATGATCTGCTCAGGTCCCTTCCAACCCTACCAACTATGAAACTATCTTTCTAGGTCGATACCGACCCATCCACCACCACTCTTTGGGTGTGACCCCTAAGCCAATTTTGCCACCCACCTGACTGTGTAATCATGTACATCACAGTCACTCAGTTTATCTATGAGAATATAATGAGATACCCTATCAAAGGCCTTCTTAAAATCCAAGTAGATGACCTCTACCTTGATTCCTGTGTCTAAGCATTTTGTGACCCGGTCATAAAAAGAAACATTTATGCCTAGATCAGGGGTGGGTGGGCAATTATTTGGGCCCGAGGGCCACATAGGGAGTTTTGGGAAGCTGTCACAGGCCAGGTCAGCACTTTCCTGCCCCCCCCTCCCCCCACAGCGCCCCAAACCTCCCTATATGGGGGCAGGTGGCAGCTTCAGCCTCTAGCTGTCCTTTTACCCCAAGGAGGGGCTTGAGCAGATGCCTCTATCTCCACGGGGAAGCTGATGCTGGTGCCTGCCCTGCACTGCTTCCAGTGCATGGGCTGGGAGCTGGTGTAAGCTGCAGGGCTGTGCCGGAGGTGCAGGACAGTCTGGGGGGGAGGGTGAGGAAGGGGGAGACAGGGGCATCCATGCCCATGATGAGTGGCAGCGGCTGGTGCTGGGTGCTGGCGAAAAGCTGCACCTGACAGTGGGCACACTCGCCACTTCCAGGGTCCTTCTGGCTGCGCCTGCCCAGAGCCCGAACTGAGGTTGCCCTTTGACCCCTCCCTGCTGCTGCAGAATGGCAGTGGCAGCA